AAAAAAAAAAAAAAATCAACAAACAGAAGTAAATACAAAATGCAGAGCGGAAATTGAAAATTATATGAATCGATGTGCAATCAGGAAATTGTAGAGAATAACAGATGATGAAAAGACGAATGAACTCACCTTAGCGGCAGAAGGTTAAGGGGGAAAAGAAGAGCAAAAACCATCCGTCACACCAATTGGGACGAGTGTGATTCGCACTATATATACGTGTACGAGGAGAGAGAAAATAGTGGAGTTGTCTTATTTAAACGTTTCATTTTTGTATTTTCTGTGTTATTAAATAGTAGGAGAGAACTAAATAATAATATTCACTATTGGATGTTAAATTCTGAAAATTTCAAAAATGTTATACATAATTGTTTGTGGAAATTTAAATTTTAATACTGTATGTACAGCTCATATAATGATTTTTCGACTTTTCCTATATCTCTATCTATTTCTATTATTTTCGTATGAGAATATATCATGTTCATGCTCAACAATCAAGATTAAAACAAAACAATTGCATCAATGTCAAAGCTTAGGTTGGACTGTTAATGAATTTTAGAAAAATGTTGCTAAATAAAGATTGTTATTTAATGACATGAAGCAAGAGTTTATAGTATCGCTAATCTTTCCTTATTAATTGGATATCAAATTTTAAAGTCCAAATTAGAGTAAACAAGCTTGTGACAGTACATTAGAGTAAGAATTATTTGCATTACTTTCTAGTTTCTAACTAAATTACCTGAATGAATTGTGTCAAAGTCTAAACTGGAAATACTCTTAGATTAGATCATTGTGAAATAACCAAAGAAAGGTTTTAGATCATTGTGAAATAACCAAAGAATATTTGATTGGAGAAAATTTTCCTAAATATCACATGTTTCACTCTCAGTTTATCAGCATCAATTTTAATAATACAAAACAACTAAAAATCAAATTTACTATATGATTTAATATAAAATTTATATATTGACTCAGTTACATATTTATAACTATCACTAATTATTTTATTATATATCTACACATTACCTATAATGGTCACATATTGTATATCACCACCAATCATATCTTTTAAATTTTTATTTTCCCAAGCAATCTTTCTTTTTGTAAAATAAATTAAAAAAAAAAAATTTAAAGGGTTATGTCATTTCAAGAATGGGTGTTCCCAGGAACAGAACAAATAACTAATACAACTAATACATCTACTCGCAGTACTTTATAGTATTTCAAAAAGATACGCAGGCTTTGGCAATAATCAATAATCCTTTGCCTTCTATATTGGGGGAATTTTTTTTTTTGTTTTTTTTTTTTTTTGGCGAATAACAAATAAACCAACTGATAAAAGATGTAAAATGTCAAGAAGGAAAGCCATAGTTGCCCAACTGCAGCATTTAGAATTTAATGTACTTGCATTTCAGGCAATATGCTGATTTTACTATTCACCCCACCAATCCTTTGAGGCGGCCACACAACATGGGTGACTCGTCCGCATATCAGGCCAACAGGAATCTGAATTAAGAAAGCTATAAAAAATGAATAAAGAACACGGCAAGTCAACAAATATCATGCAACATTGAATAAAATCATCTTCTCACCGCACAGAACAATCCAAGTGAAGGAGCATTGTTCTCAAAATCCATTTAAATAGTATTGCATTTGTTAGGATATTCAAGATATATAGCTCACAGAAATTTGATATACAATTTTAGCAACTTCACGGCTATGTTTGATAATCAAATAAGCTAGCTTATAGGTTATTTGGTTAGTTTATAAGCTTCATGTATTCAAATAAGCTTCGTTTGGTTGGACGAGCTTTTTTAAAATGCTCGAGCTTATCTCATAAGTTTCTTTGGGTAACTTTTCAAATAAGCTCATTGAAATATTTGTTTCAGCTCTAATTTTACCAAACACTTTTATCATATAAGCTCTATAAGCTATGTCCATTGCATATGGAGCTGGAAGAGTCATTGTTGACAATTCTCCTGGCATAGTGCTAATAATGGACTAGATCAAAATGGCTCAATTAAATTCTAGTGCTTCTTCTATTAGTGAAGTTTCTAGAAAAAAAATATATCAAACGACGCAACGCACCTTGGGTCGCTATGGAAACAGCCTCCTTGTATAATTACAAGGGCTTAGGTCTGCGTACAACTGATCTCCCAGACCCCAACCTGTTGGGAATATACTGGGTATGTTGATTGACATAAGCTATAAGCTAAAAAAACACTTATAAGCTATAGGCGAGTTTATTAGCTATCAACTAGTTTTACCAAACATAGCCTACATGAAAACGTCAGATGATCTAGAATAGTTACACATCTTGGAGCAAGTATAGATTACAAGGTAGTGTCGATTAGACAATGGTTTGAAAGAATGGCTAATACAAAATCCTTTTTAACTGGAATTTGAGATTACCACAAGCCACTATCCTCAAAGGCCTGAAATTTGGGGTATTTCCTAGTAAAATCTTAAGGAAAAACCTAGATGTTTGTTTCATTGTCAGTTTCAAGAGGTCAATGTAATACAAAATCCCTATGATAACAAAGGGAGGTTTTGTTATTTCAAAACTCTTTTGGATTCTTTCAACTATAATAAACATGGTACATTGATTAACCAATTTGAGGTGGCTCATCATCTTCTTCTGCTCGATGAAAAATCAGAATTTTGTAAAAGCAGCCAATCGGATATACTACCATGCCAAACTATAGAATTGAGCAAACTAAAAGTTGTCTTCAAACGTGAGTCTAGAATTATAAATATTAATGCCAATTATGCCATCATACCGGACCAAATGACCTTGAGTCCATGCTAGAATCTGCATTATCTCCCACGACCCAACAATGCCCTTCCGGAACCCTCAAATTGTCCTGTGACGGGAGATAGATCCAGTCACCGGGCAAGGCAGCAATTCTTTTCACATTTTTCTCCTTATAATTAATCGGGGAACTGAAAAATAATATGAACAAGCTCACACTTCAAAATCAATAGCACTAGATACATATAGACTAAGCTTCAGCAATTTTTCTTTCAGTGAGAAATGCACCATCCAAGCAAGTACAGTTTAATCTCACAATCATATTCCAAATAGATAGAGAAATATTTCTGGGTATTATTCAAAAAGTGCCGTTTCTTCCTCATCACGAGAAGGGATGCAAGTTGACGTGATATGTAAAATGCAAAATATTCGGCTTCTTCAGTGTTAATTTCACGTACTAGATAAATAATTACAAAGTGAACAGTTAGAATAATATAACCCAGTACTCGACCAGAAACGAGTAGAAAACCCATGGAGATTAATGATAAAGGCCTGGTAGATAAGCTCGGCACCATATTATGCAATAATTTCATAATGAAGTGAAGACCCCCCAAAAAAAGAGCAACTCCATGGCAAATTGCAATATCATTTTTCTATTAAATGTGGATTATTGCAATCAAACTTTAGGCTGTAGGTATCGATATTCAACAAAGCTTGAGCTAATTTGCCTACTCGAGAATTCTCTTCGAATAATCAACTCCAAGAAAATGTGATACTTAAGCTTAAAGGAGTTTCAGTTGCTCGGCATAACCAAATAATTCAAGAGCATTAACATTCCCCTCACATAGCCTACCATAACTCAACAGCACTCACCAAAAAACGCTCCAAAAATGCAGAAAACAACGGAAAAATTGCCATAAAAAAAATAAATAAGGAAAAATACAATATAACTCAGTAAAATGAAAATTGATGAGTTGGGCAAAAACCTCTGCTAAAATTACCGAAAAACGACGACGTCTCCCCGCGCGAACTTGTATTTGGCAAGGCACAATTTCTCAACCAATACATAGTCATCTGCTACCAGCAACAAAGGATCAATCTCATTTTACTCAAAACTACAGAATAGAGAACCAAGTTCTTTCTGGCGATATAGGAAATTTACCGAACGCGAATCCGGCGGAGGCTCCGGCGTGAGGATTCAGAGTGGGAGACATTGATGAGCCGCGAACCGCCATGAAGCTTGCATATCGATCGGAAATCGTGAGGCCGATTAGACCGGCGGTGAAATACTTTTTAGCTGCATTCCATAGGAAGTTTCGAGTGGGCATTTCTGGATAAAGTATAAGATTATTGGTTTCTCTTAAGTTAATGCGTGGTGTTAATCTAGTCCACCCGGTTTTATTTGATTCCACAACAAAATTAGTCAGGTTATTGGAATAGATTAAACCAGGTGAAAACTTCCAAAAGATAAATGTATTTGACGTTGAAGCAAAATTACCTATCAAGTTAATATCTTGTAACTAGTTTTATAAATTTGAGCTTGCGAATTGGTTTGGGCGAATTTGGTTTGAACTTTAACTTTAACAAGTCGAGCCTACTTTTACACGGGCGAATTTGAGCTTAACAAGTCGAGCATCGAATTTGAGCTTTGGTTTGAACTTTAACTTTAACAAGTCGAGCCTACTTTTACACGGGCGAATTTGAGCTTAACAAGTCAAGCATCGAATTTGAGCTTTAACAAGTCTAATCAAGCAAATTGATTCGTTTACCAGCGTAACAGTTTCCAATTCTAATTTGTGCTTGAATTTATAAAATACATCGAAATTATACAAAATAATTTTTATTTATTATTGCATTATTAAAAGTTTCATCTTAAAAAAATAACAGTGTTTCATGAAATATATTATTTTATGAAGAAATACAGATTTTTTTTTTGCAAAAAAAGCATGGTAATTTCATGTAAAAATCATGTAGTGACCATTTCATAGCAGACTTGCAAATATTTAGATCAAAAAAAAAAAATCAACTTTTATATACAAGCCCATTAGTAAAACACTTTACGAACTTCTACTGCAATCGTAGCCAAGCTGCAGGAGCACATATTTACACTTCACGAATGCAAAGCAAAGAAAAATGCAGGAACCAAGAAAAATGATAGCCCATAAAATCATATGAACAAAGCTTCAAATCCAAAACCACAAACAAACACTAAAAAGGAAACCCAATAAATAATTCATCGAACACAAGGATCATAAGAAACCACTACCGAATCTGGAACAACAAGAGGCAGCTTGTCGATATACATGATTAGTCTCTTCAGATTTTCTCGTGCAATGATGGATAAATCAACAATCTCACAATTGCTCGGGTAGATCCAAAGCTCCCCAGAATTCACCCTTTTTAGACTGTCCCTACAAAACGGACACGACTGGGATCGGGTCCGCCTGTCGAGATAGAAAAAACACGACACGATCAGTCTTTGAAGGAAGCATTTAGGCACCACGAACAAATAAGAACATATTGAAGACCAGAAAAAACATGATTAGACAAATGAGAGTTCCCAATATTATCCTTTGTTCATAGAGAAAAAGCATTATCCCTTCAAATTCTTGATAATTGATCATTCACCTAGTTTGAGGAGCTTATTACGTCCATGTCATGAAATTTATGTTTTTAGACAATGTAAATTTCACTTATTGATGTGTTTCATGTCTCTAATTCGTGAATTTCTAATGATCCTCTATCAATAACCGAGCCGGATGTGGTGTATGCCGTACCATAAGAGATTTGCCTTTTCTATTGAATCCTATGGACGGATCAAAAAAAATTCGTGAATATGAATCGAAGAAGAATCTTTATTGTTTCTAATAAATCATACGTTATGTGTTAACTGTTATGTACGGATGATGAAATTCCATTGCTAGAGATAAACAATTTTGGAAATCAAATAGCATAATAAATCATTCGTTATGTGTTATGTGTACGGATGATGAAACTCCATTGCTAGAGATAGACAATTTTGGAAATCAAAACTATGTAAATTTCACTTATTAATGTGTTTCATAAAATACAACACACACACATAATGTTTATTAATACTTCATCATACCCAAAAAACACTACCCATATGATGATGAAATAAATATAATACACATATGTCATGCCAGAGAAAGGTTTCATCTAAATTGGAGAAATAAATAAATACATTAATAAAAAGATTGCATCTTACCAGCTCTTGTAGCAGTTCATGCACAATGAATGGTTGCAAGTCGGCAAGACAACCTTAGTATCCATTTCCATGCAAATCCCACATTCTTCCTCTCTCTCAATCTCAATTTCAGACATCTTACCCTTATCCATCTCGTCAGTTCTCCTGTATTTAGTCTCACAGATCTCTCTCTGTTTCCTCTCGTCAATGTCGGTTATTCCCTTATGAAGTTGCAGCAGAGATGGGAATATCACACCTACCCAATTTATCTTCAGCATTTAGAACTCGTCAAACTAAGTGGCTCATACTATATCTCAAGCGGAGTAATTAATTTTTTGTTTCTTTTTCTTCAATAAATGGATAAAACAAAGACTGATTACTTGCCAACAAATGTTATATAGTTTTAATAATAGATTTCTTTTTCCGGTGCCATGGTATTGAAAAATATAAGCTATTTGTACATTCTGATCTTTCATCTGTAGATCACATCAAATTAGAATTCCTTTATCACATCTAATATCATAATTACACTTTTATATAAGCAAAAATACTATCACACTCTCATTTCATTACATCTAATATCATAATTACACTTGCATATAAGCAAAAATACTATCACACTCTCATTTCATTTGACTGATCACCTCCAACACAATGATGTTGCCAAAAAATCCATCGTGTGTTTTTCATCTCAAGTCCAATCATAATACGAGCATTCAACCTTATTGTTGGAGATAACTTTTTCTCACCATCATTTCTCTAAAACTATAACTGTCTAAAACAAAACAAAAAAAAAAAAAAAAAACACACTACAACAAATACTATCCATTGTAGTAGCATTCCAAATGCACTCACCATAAAATTGCCTCAAGCTGGCTTTCCTTTCATAAACAGACATAGTTGTCTTCCCATCCTTGTATGCCTGCACTAAACACCATTATGTCACAAATAGACCGAACAAACAAAATCCACCAAAGCACATTGCACTGCCTTTCAAAGGCAAAACCCACCTTATAAATAAGTATCCTAATCAGCCCAAGTGCACCGGCTAGGTGACAATCAGCCCATTGTACGAGAAAGAGGAAAAAGTTGGCGCACGGGCTGTAAGACAGCCTCATCTGAACGCAGGAGCCGTCATAACCCCTTGAATAATCTGAAGCCCTGTATCCTCAAACAAAAACAGATCACACAGTAAAACATATTAAATCCAAAACAGAAAAATCCATTTACTATAATAGCCAAGAACAAAGAAAAAAAACCAGAAAAAAAAAATAAAAATAAAAATAAATTGTCAGAACCCCAGTTATATACTGTAACATAAATCTAGCTACAAGCCTACAATCTAATTTGGGTAGTACAGTAAATGTTATGAACAGTCCAAATAGCAATAAGCTCAACAGTTTATACAAGGCAGCTCGTCGTCATTCTAATCGGGGATTAGCCGATGTCTCATGCTTTCAATTTCTCGCAGATTTACATACTAATTCGAAAACAGAACATCAAACATCCTCATAACCCCAGATTGTACGATTTTTTTTTTCACGAAAATCACATAATCGAACAGAAAATCAAATCCCAAAACAAGGATTAAAAAAAAAAAAAAAGTGCCCTCTTACAGATAGACGAAAATTGAACAGTCTCCACAAAGATAAAATCACCAAAAACAAAAGGGGAAAAATAAAAACGAACGCGAGACACTTACAGAGTGTTGGCGTGCTGAATATCAGCTTCGAGCGCTTTCAATGAATCCTTAAAGGTCTTCTTCATCAGCTCCCCCTCTTCTAATCTCCTTCTCCCATCCAATTTTCACCTCTTTCCCCTTCAAATTCACCCCCTTTTTTCTTCCTCAACACCAGTCCCCTTCAGTAATTCATACAGTTCCGTATTCTTTTCACGTACAAATATCCAGAAACATAAATAGTATAAAAAACGAAATGGGAACAAAAAAAAACCTGCGAACAAGACGATGAAACCTAGATTTTCTCTGGATGAGAGGGGAAAATTTTTAGGAAGCGAGATTTTGCAGGGAGTGTGCACAGAATGCGTGCTGGCTTGGACCGCACGCTTCGGTTACTGTACTTCAATTTGTTGGTTTATTTAATTTAATTTAATTCATAAACCTTAATGAAATTTTTGTTTTTGTTGGTGGTTTAGACTTAGGTGAGCACCTGGGGTTTTTTCGCTCACATATATTATTAACATTTGCCGCCTTAGTTTATTTCCCGATTTATCAGACAGGCCAAGTAGACGAATACTTCTATTCCTATACAATGTTACCTTTCCGCCAAACAGGACCTAATTGGGAATATTGATCTTCACTTTTTACCTAAAAAGAATATAAATCACTATTTATAATTTCATTAATTTCTTCGTTTGTAAAAGTTGATTTCACCTAAAACTGTTACACAATGTGTGTTTTGTATTACAACGGGAACCTATGAACTGACTGAAGTGTTCAGTTCGTACAAAAGAACTAAAACAAAAATTGAAATTACAACTCGAACGCGGAGAGATTTGAGCCGAGGCGATTGAAATCTATCCGCAAGACAAATACGCCCCGTGTAGTGCTGACGGGTTAGTGCGTAATGCCCCCAAAGATACAACGGCTTTAACACTCGGAAGCTGTAGCACACCAGCCTTCAGAGTCCAGTCGAACAAGAATGAAGTCGAGAACCGAGCACTATGATATGATGCGTGAGGCTTTGAGAGAGTTCTGAATGCAAGGAAAATGTTGTATGTTTTTCTCTGCAGCTCTATGTCCTATTTATAGGACTTCCACAAGTTGAGGGAAA